TGCCCCGCACAGACATGCCCTCCCCTCCGTCAGGGAATATACCTACCCTTACCAGCGTGTAAAAGAAAGGGCAACGCGGAGCAACTTGAACGAGTTAGCAGTGAAAAATAACACACAGGCTCCCAGGTACAACCCTGGAGGACCAAGAGGGATCGGTGGGTTTGGCATCCCTGTTGTAGCCACTGGCCAACAGCCCTGCTGGGGAACGCCTGGAGCCATCACTCTGAGGAGTGGAGGGACACAGGCAGTTACAGCTGGGACGAGTTAAACTACACGGAATTAAGGGCACTGATTTTGAGCAAGATCATCCAGCCGGGGGTTTAAGTAATTCTCGCATTTCTGCTTTTGCTCAGGTTTTCATTAGGCACGAACTAAAGCTTCATCTCTGGTCCAGGGGCTGAGGGACAAGAAACTATTATACCTAAAGCCACTTCCTGGCTGTTTTTGTGCCCCGTGTTCATTGCTGGTAGGTAACGGAACATACGCTCCAACGTGAGCCTGCATCACCACACCAGTCTGTTTTCAGTCATTTCTGCCGATGCTTCCTCACAGCAGACCGAGCTGTGCCGATATAAGCACCTCAAAATACACAAGTCAACCCCAAACTGCTCCCCGAAATGGAGAGGGTCAGCAGCTGACCCACGGAGGAGGCTGCCTTTCACTGCCAGCACGCTGCGGAGGCATCACTTCATCAGCCGTTCGTTAGCGTCGTGCGGCACTGCAGGGCGCTTCGTGCTCGGCCCTTTCCTAAAGGGCAGGTCTGCAGAGAGAAACCTGGTTCTGCGGGGAATAAACCCAGCGTACGAGCCGCGCGGCTGCTTCTGAAGAGGGAGGGTAAGAGAAAGCTGCGCTCCAGAAGCAGCATCGTGAGGGGTAGCGCTGCTGGTATGGCTGTTCTTCCATTTTTATGGGAAGAGGGGAAATGATCTCCCCTCCTCTAGCAACCTGCGCCGATTTACCGTTGCTGGAAATAGAAACATGCCTGGGACAAGTCAGGGAGAGACACAGGGGGTGGGAGAAAAGAATAAGAGCTTTTAATACACCAGGAATTCTGCTTTTGAAACCAGAAACAGAGCACTGAAATCTCCCACTGAAAACCATCTGCACCACTGCAGTTGCACAGAGCACAGCCCTCTTCACCAGCTGGGGGGGGTGTGGAAATTAAGGCTGATTTATATGGCTGGCCTCATCCCTAAACAATTTGTTTCTAAAGGATTAACAAAACAGACTGCATTGGCTCCGGTGGCCAAGCGTGTGCTAGTGGGAAACAGAATTCATTTGTTCAGGCTCCAGCATCAAAAAAAGCAGCCAAAGGCTCAGACCTCGGCCTCACAAAGCGACGCAGCCCCGCACCGCACAAGCCATCTGCCGCGCGGTGGCACTCCTCCTCCAGCAACAGGACAAGGTGGGGACGCCGACTGCAGCAGCCCTGGGAATGATGAAAGGCTGATTTTCTTGTCTTCCTCTGCAAGCTTGCTGCATTATTAAAAGGTAGCAGAAAGCGTCGTCAAGCATCTGCACGATACCGTGCCCGATTCGGGGAGGGAGGGCCCCCTTTCCTGCGGGTGCGCTGCTCATCTGCATTTCTCCAGCCATTTTTCATTTACGACAAGAACGCTCAGGTTCGGTCTTGCAGCGCCCAATTACAATTGAAAATTATTTCAAGCATGACGATAGGGAAAGGCAGGTTACAAAACCAGCGTACGCGATCACTTCTGCAGAAGCCAGGCTGCCTCGGTAACTCCCACACTGCACAGTACGTTTCTAGGTCTGATTTGGTATTCAAGATGCTTCAAGTAGCTGTCCCTTCTTCCTTCCCCGTTGCAAGCCGTCGCAGAAATCTCTTGATGTACAAAACTGCCTTGTACTCTTCCAGTTTGTGTACAAATCAAATGAAATTCCACGATCCTTTTGTTCAGCTGCTCATTTAAAAAACAAACAAACCCACTTCCCTTATTTTCCTCCTATTTCTTCTGTTCATCAGATCGCTTCCCACCTCTGTCTCAGGCAGGTTAGACACCCATGACTCCTTTCTAGAGCACAAAATCTGAAAGGTTAGACCCATCCTTGTTTAGAACCACACTGGTGAAGTCGAAGAACGGCTGCCTGGACGCATACACAGAGCTCAATGACCTTTTTGGTGTGGCTCTTACACCAATTTATACAGTGCCTAACCCTACACATAGGTCCCTATAGGTTCCATAAGGAAGGGAAAACAAAGCTATTTTTGTTCTTTTCAGCTCTGTGTTCTGAATGGTTTCTTTCCCAGGCTGCAATTCAATCCACAGCCCAACCTCCTGAGAGCAAGATAGAGCACATGAGCGGTTACTGCCGGTATCTCGACAAGCTGCTTTAAAAAAAAAACAGCGAGGAAGCAGGAGAACAGGAGCCAAACTGCATTTGTGACACAGCAAGAGTAAGCTGGTGCACCAAGTGCCGCAAGCTAAGGACACCGACATGGAGGCTGTGATTCTACAAGGAAGAGAAGAGTACACGAGGAGTTAATCCATGTGGGAGGATACAAGGAACCATTACCAGCCTAGCACATACCAGGAAAATGTGTTGTTTACTTAAAACCGGAGTGCACTGCAGAAGTGCTCAATAGCAGCAGATCTATCACTCAATGCTGCCCCCAGCAGCAACCATTTCTAACAGATGGTACATTTTTCAATACCGAGGTTGTTTCAAGTGTCATGTACGCTGCCTTTGGAAGGCAGCAGGGGAAAAAACAAACCAAAACCCAGCAACAACAAAACAAGCAATTTTGAGAAATTCAAACTTATTCACAAGCTTTAAAAAAAGAACCAAGACCACTCTTACAGTATAAACACGCCAATTCATTCATTTTTACTGATGGTTGCATTTATGAATTTCATTCTCATGAAAAAAAGGGAATAAAAGGAAAAAAATTAAGAAAATAGCTATTTATAGAAAACAAAACAAAAAAGGGCTCAAACAGAAACCTGTGCTGATGCTTTTGATGAGCAGTCCGATGGCATTAAACATTACCTGTGCAAGCAGGCATGCTTGAAAACCTGTCTTAGTACTGTAGCTTCAGTTCCACAATCCAGGATTTCTTTTATGGTTGTTGAAAAAAAGAGAGCCTAATAGTTTCATACTGTATTTATTTAATAACTAAAATTCACAAATAAAAAGATACTTGCAAAGTCCTTTAGTTGTGTCATCCCCTCCTCCTCCACTCTACTGCTTTCAGACCCATATGCATAAAAAAATGGGCTTGGATTTTTAATTTTAACTGTTATATGATTGGTCGTTGGAGCTGAAGCACCAAATGGAGAAGATGCTTTATGGAGATGAGGGTATAACCCCTTGCCTTCCCACACACATTTTGGAGGAACATAGGAGATGTACCAGTGCCCGGACTCCTCTGCTCCCATTTCCCCCACCCAGAGCATTCCTTTCATTTTATATTTCCTCTGTTAAGTGACTGACTGTAGCCTCTTTTTTTTTTCCCCTTTCTGTCCTTGCGGGACCGCATACACGTTGGACATTGTTCATTTCTTACTCCGCCAGGCTTTGAGTCAGTGTCAAGTAGGTCCTGTTACAGCTCAGTGCTAGTTGTTTTTTAATAGGTCTTTTCATTTCAGGTAGGTTTGTGTGTCGATTCAGAAGGCTTGCTTATTTTCTTCCTTGTTTATATCTGACAAGCTGCTGGATAAGGCTATTCATACTCCAGGAACTGTTTGTGATAGAACAGCAAATATCTGCAAGAAAGCAGAGGTACAGTTTCAGCTTTCTGCTATGCGTCAGAGCAGATTAGTATTTCCATTGATGCGATCATAAAAAATGAGGACCATTAGTTTTGTTTTTCTTTTCAATTTGAAGCAATTCCAAGGACATGCCAATTCCCTACGGTAACCATGGATGGGAAGGAGGGAAGCCAGCTGAAACAATTTTACCAGCAACTCAGGAAACTGAACAGTTGTACATCAAACAGTCAAACCTTCTTGTTGTACAATCTACTTAGAACCTGAAAGCTCCAGAAGATTGGACCGTGTTGGTGCCCAGACTGGCAGCATCCATTTAACACTATCATGACACAAAATACAACAGAGGTGCTTTAAGATGCAGCTGTTGCTTTGGAGTCACATTACCAAAGCATCAGACACTTGGGATTATTGCAAACGGTCTGCCATTTACTGTTACAGAAGCAAAAAAAAGAACCAGGCATGTGGGTTAAATCTCATGTGCCCCAATCAAATCTGACTCAGATATCTACTGTCTCAATCTGGACTCAAATCTGTCTGTTAATGGGATGACATTCTTCCTGTCCTTAATTACTTTACGTGTACTGCTACATAACAGAGCTCAGCCCTCCATCAGTTACACGTCAGAGGGAAGTGGCCTCATCACTACATACTCTTTACACACCACACACTGACAAGGTCACTGCATGACTCTCTTCAAATGCTTCAAAGGACTTTTGAGATTTTCCAATTATTATCATTCCATCTCACGCCCTATGGAGCTTCCCTTATACAATCCAGATCTACTTAGTGTCAGCCTTTATCTGAACCAGGGAAAACGGATCAGAGCTCAAACCAGCCTTTATGGAGATGGATGGGCAGCAGTTGCCTCCCATATCCTTTCCTCCTTGCCTATGGTAGTTTCTTCCACCGACGTACGCCATCTGAGGACCAGAGCCAGCCACTTCTTATTGAAGAAAAACAAACTCATTTTCTGCTGACCTCAAAGCAGAAGTTACGTTGTCCAATCATTTAACACTGAAATTCAGATATTATAGATTTTTTTGTGTCCTGGTTGAAGTTCAGAAAATGAAAAAATGGGAAAAATCTATTTTAAAAAAAATTACAAACTGAACATCTGTGCCTGCAGCAATCCATGGAAATGTCAGAATAATTAAAACAAGGAACAATAAAGGCTTATCTTTCCAGTATCAGGTCCATAGTGGAAAATGCAAAATGAAGACTTCAAATTTGAAGTTACCTTCTTGAAACATGTACCAGTCCCCAATGCTTCCCTCAAATGAGGAACATCAAGATGCTTCCCTTGCAAACTACTGCTCTGCACTCCCAATACTTGTTTAATGCAAATATCTGAAACCATAACCTCAGACTGAAATCAGTTTAAAGCCATGAGCTATGAAACAGCTCCTGTTCTACATCTGCCTCCTATATAGCCTTGCCACTCTGGTTCACAGTATTTTCTTAATAGCTTTTCTTCAGATCTTTTACACTCATAGTAATCCAATGGTTCTGCAGACAGAGGTTGGATTGTGTCAGGGAGGTAAATACTGCTCCTACACTGGATGATTGTATCTCTTTGGTTTTCAGAGTCCCATCCATTAGCAAGCAAGAGTTTGGACATGAGTACCAGTTACAGACACTGCAGAGTCAGCTGACGGTCCTCATCCTTCCCCTCTTCTTCCTTCAACAAATCCAAGATTATAAAGTAACATTCTGAAGCACTGATACATACACAGAGACGTAGCTATTCAGAGAGAGAAATTAAGTCTTCTCTATGACGAAAGGGTCTTTTAACTGAAAGTAAGGAAAACCCAACAAAGGTCAGAGTTTCCCTTCCGTTCCCCTTTCCAGTTCACAACTTACCCTTCACTGTCTAGCACATCCTTAATGCTAGCCTTGGTGATAATGGCATCATCACACTTGAACCACTGGTCTTTGTGCTGCCGGATGAAGCTGGTATAGTGCCCACTCTCCAAGGTTCCCTGGTGATTAACTACTGCAAACAAGGAATACCTGGTACAGAAAAAAGTTAATGAATATGTGGATCAAAAGGGGAAAACCAACTGACATTTTAAGCAAAAGTTTATGTTCATAAACACGTACAGCAACAGTAAAGGATCTGACCCATCAATAAAACACCAGCTCTTAACATTGACTGGGAAGAGGGTATCCTTGCCCAGGGAAAAAAACCATGTTTTTCTTTTCCTGTCTTGCTATTACTGCAACACTCCAGTCTGATGACAGCCATCAGCTTCACCAATACTGGCTACCAAAGATTTTTCCTCTAAAATAGATCAATATTATGATGCATTCCTGAAGAGGACCACTGATTATCTAAGTCTGACCTTCTATTTCCCTGAAGAGGACCACTGATTATCTAAGTCTGACCTTCTATTTCCCTGAATTAGTTACTTTTAGTGAATCAGAAAAATGCATCTGAGTTATGGGGATGGGGGTAAATTTATATATAGCTAATCTTAAATATTCCTAGTGATAAGTTGCTGTCCTTAATCTGGAAAGTCTGTGCCTATTCTGAAATACTGAATATATTCAGCCTCAAGTTCCAGCTTTCAGATGGTGCTCTGCATTTGCCTGCTAGCCTGAAAACTAGCAGACACATCTCTGTTCCAAAGAAAGATCCTGGTAGACTAATCAAGTTGCTATTAATTTTTTTTTTTCCCCCCTTTTCTTGAAAAGGAAAAGACGGAAGTCCTTCACTCTTTTGTTCTATGGTAAGATTTTGTTTCCAGTCTTAAATATACTTGCAGCTCTTTTTCAAATGTTCTCCACTCTAAGTCAGTCTTAAAATGATACCCTCAAACTGGTATACAAACACAGCTGCACAATGGTAAAATAATCTCTCTAATCTCACTTGATATTGCCCTCCTTACATTCAAAATTCACAGAGCTCTTTTGACAGAGTGGTGCCACAACAAGGCACCTATTCAGTCAACTGTCTACAGAGCCACTGATTTTTTATAAAGTCACTCTCTTCCTAGTGGAGTCCTTTAATCCAACTAGGATGGACACCACTCTTCAGTCCTAGATGGAGGATTCTAAGATTGCCCCAGCTGTTTACTGGCATCCAGCTTACTAGGCAGCCCAGATGCCTCTACTCTCATTACCTAATCCTCTTCACCATTAACAACTTCTCCAACTGGAGTCATGTGCAAACCTTGACAGTGATCAGTTATGTTTTCTTTCAGCTCTTTGCTAACACTATTAAACACCATACATCTAATGCATCAGTCGTTACAGGACCACATGTAACACCTGCCTGGTATCTGCTTGTATGACAACAGCACTAAGACCTGGTTAGATAGTTTTTAAATCTATCTATTGTGTCATTCCAGTTTCTTAATGAAACTTCTGGTGCCACATGAAGTGCCTTGAAGAATTTATATACACATCAGCACATGACTGTAGCAACCAAACTTGTAACCTTATTAAAAAACCCAAGAGATAAGGTTTGTGTGACCATCTCTAGTCTCATAAAGCTATGGATATTAGTTTCAGTTACACTCCCTTTGCATTCTTGCTCAAGACCCATATCAACCCGTCATTTATTCTGACCGGAATCAATACCTAACCAAGAGACCCCAGAATTACTGGGGTCATCTACTTGGGACTTTGAGTGTCAGTGTTCTATAAACCTTCTTTCGGTCCCCTGGAACTCCCTTTGCTATTGCAATAGAAATAGGATTATTTAAAGGAAACACCCATCCCTTTTAATACTATAACCACAGCTTTTCATTTTGCTCATAGACCGATTGCTGGGGTTATCACCTTCAGATCTAAAAGTCAGCTGCCACAAAACCACAAGAGGGAAGGCAATTGTACTGAATGAAGCTTTATTTTGCAACAATTCAGACTTACTGTGCTGTCAAATATGGTAATGCACTTTGCACTGCAGGATATACAGCAGGCTGTATATCTCCTTCTAGAAGCCAACTACCTTTCACAATAGGAGTCATGGAATGTACCACTTACTTATTATCATTGTTTAGACTATCCGTCGGCTGCTGGTATTGCCCGTTCATTCTGCTCTCTTTACTGCAAACACACACACACAAAAATCCAGTCACTTAAAGCAGTGGCTTCCCAAACCGAGGAAATAGGTTTTACATGACACAGCCTGTTTGCTGAATCCAGGTCCTTATTCAAAAGCACAACGCTGCTTAGCAGCGCAGAAGCGCTGCTGATTAGGATGCTAAAGATGCTTTATTTGCTCTCACAGCAATGCTACATAAGGAACACCATTTCTCCTCCTGGTCAAGGCTTCAGTGCTGCAAATACACATCTGTTTACGTCAAATGTCCTATCCAAAAAGCTTAAAAACAGGTTAAGAAAAGATTTGTATTTAAAACCTGGAAAAATATCTAACTACATCAATCCTTTATCCTGTGATGGGTCAATCATCCTGGCTCTGACTTGTAAATTCATTTTGTGTTTTGACAGCAGCAATAGGATTATGCTGTTGATTTCATAGCCGATGAAATTCAGATTACTGAGTTATGCTTACTGATTATCCTATCTATATTCCATTATGTTTGATACCGTTCAACAGCAGAGCCTGTTCTATCCAGGGAGAATTTACCACAGAGGAACAGGGAAGTCTCAAAATCTCCAGAATATACTGGAATAAACCATATACTCTTAATAGAATACTATGTAACAGAGCTTCAAGGCTCTCCTTTCTCTCCTGACAGAAGCATCTACTTTTTTTTTTTTTTTTTTTTTCCATTTTTTTGGGGGAGGGGGAGGTTGGGGGGTATGCAGGCAAAGCCTGAAATTACCACTAAAATGTTAGCATCAAATAGAACCCCTATGTTAAGAGACACCACGTTTCGGGGCTTTCTGCATTGCTTCAGATACCAATTAAATCTGAATATCCTCTTGTATATTTGAATGAAATACCTGACAAATACTTGTTAACTGAGCTGATTGAATTCCTTTCCTAAGGTATATTTATATAAATGTTGTGTCTTTCACAAACCTGGGAGGTGGGAGAAGTCTTACTGTTTCTGTTTAAATACCAATTAGAAACACCTATTGTAATCTGGACTATGTTTTTGATTCTTGCAGCATTCTCTAAGCAGAAGTTGAAAGCACAAAACAAAAACCCCAGATTTGCCTGTGTGCAGGAATAAAGAAGAAGGATTTTTATAACTTCAGAAATACTAGGTTAGGCCTTAGGTTATGTCTAGTCTGCCTAATTACACAGGATGACTGGTGGGTGGGCACTCAGGTGACGGGACCAAAGCAGAGATCTGAAGGCACGATGGATCGGAGTCTATAAATTTAACATGCAACCAGAAACATAACAGACCTTAATTGAAAAAAAAAAAAAAAAAAAAAAAAAAACAATGTTTAAATATAAAGCCTTTTTTGGCACACAAAACACAATAGTTTATCTAAAAATTAGCTTAGAAAAGATGCACATTTCAAGGAGAAGCTTACAGCAGAAGTATCATTATACATACTGTTCTATAACCTTGATTCAAGGATGTTCCATGTTTCATGATGCACATGTATGAACTGGTAAACAGTTCTGTCCAGGTCTTTGGGGAATTTTGAACTTGGTACACACCTGGAAGCCATGAATGGTGTCATGTCCAGCTCCAGCGGAAATGAGACATACGTAGTGATCTTTCGCCTCAGTTTGGCTGAGTGTTCAAACCGCTGGAGACAAAGTGGAAGAATTTTTTTTCTTTAGAGAAAGGCTAAGTTTTCTGTCTTTTATAAGTGTCCTAAGCTTAGGAACAGTAACATGAAAGCATATGAGCAGTCAGTATCCAGGGACATCCCCAGATTTTTTTCTACCATCTGGGCTGGGAATTCCCCTGTAAATGTTAACACATTTCTACCGGGAAAATAAACCACAATTTGTGGGAGAAAAATGTAGTATTAATTAGATTGTTTACCTTAATATCTATACATACAAACTTATTCCCAACTGACATTAAGAAAAAAATATATTAAACAGAGAGAGCATGGACAGCCTTTACCCAAACCAGTGTTCATTTCTATTATGCAGTATTCAAATATATGGCTGCTGCCTACACTAGCACACAAAACTGGTGACAACGAGAGCTTGCCATCAGATTCATACACTTAATCCACGCATCCAATCATCTCAAGTGACAGGAGTCGAGCTTACACAGGAATACCAATTCACATCAAGGCAAAAATGGAGTATGGTAATAAAAGTGCCTTGTCCCTCTGCCAAAAGGAGCCTGCAATACCCACCACCCTCTCCTCATCTTCCCAACATTAAATGGAAAACAGGAACAAATACCAGAAAGAGATGAATGAGTTTCTATTTAAAGGCAGTTTCTCCCCCATTTCTCAGAAATTCTGTTCTATTTACACTTCAAGTTAATTATTTTCCAATTGTGGTGCCGTAACAATTCCCTAGCAACAGATCCAGACGTGAAAAGCTGAGACTTCTGTAACTCTTATCTTTTGTTTCTTTTTTGCTTTAACACATGAAATGAAATTTACATTTTTCATGGACAGGACAACACCATCACTTCGGAAAAGTAATTTATTTTTTTTTAAAAAATCTTCAATCATGCTGCATAACACAAATGCTGAATCGAGTGTAGGAAAGGGGTTAAGCACATTCACCTCGCCTTGCGCAAAGAGCAGAATCACCTAGGCATATCTTGCCAACTACTCTGCAACAATAAAATAAAAATAAAATAAAACCACAAGCCCAATACCCCCAAATCCACCCCCAAAAGCCAAGCAGCCAGCCAAGCATTCCTGAAATTTTAAGTCAGTCATGCTCTTTGGGAAGACTACAAACAGCCAAAGAAGAGCAAAGGAACTGTTCTCCTGTCTATCCGAGTCAGGCTAGTATCTTTGGCATATCTTTTGCATATCATCTTGGTTAATACTGAAGATGCAACTGAAGAACTGCTGGTATATGGGGATGAACATCAGAAAGCATGATTATCCCAAACAGTCCAAAAAGGCCTGTAAATTACAGAAGAGATAATTCTTTCCACCTGAAACACCTTTTTTCAGTAGAAAGCAGAATCAGTCTTTTCTCATGAATACAGACCTTCCTATGGCATTCTGTTTTCATGTCAAGACCTCTGCATTTCATTAACAAGCTTCTGTACAAGCCAGATTTTGAAAATAAATTTTAAATCACTGCTATGCTGGATATGGAGTTGCTATGTAATTTAGCAATTCCAAACTACAATCATTTCTTGAATACAGTCCCTGACTTGCTCAGTGAGACCATGACACTATAGTTATACAGCTTATTAGATCTTCCAGTATGAATGTACTGACCTAGCCTAGAGGGGTACTGGAAAATAAACCAAAAAACCAGCCTGTGCTCAGCATGCACTTTGCCATGATAGCTACAAGATAAAAGTCTAACTCCAGCACTGTTAAAGCTACCCAGGTGTTTTACCGAAGTTCAAAGCCAAGAAACCATGTAAGAATTGAACAACTAAACAAAGTCTCTGGAGCAGGCGGCTGGAGTGGGTGTTCTTTCGATTCACCATTCCCCAGTTGGAAAGAGAAGCAATACAAGCCTTCATTTGTACACAGCATATAGCCATTTTAAAACCTGCTTCCAGCCACCATGGACATAAGTAAAATGCTGGTTTTCTTTATATAGCTTATGTGACATTAGTATCATCATCAGATAAGCAGTTTCTTGAAACACTGGTCATAGTAAGAACTGAGGCCAGTGATCATCAGTTGCTGCCTAGCAGCGAGAGGACTTTGTCATTCTGTCCCAGGAGACCATCAAGACCATAGAGGTCTGCATCTGAAAAGCTCAAACAGATCAAAGACGCAGTTCAATTACTATGGTGGCTGCTTTTACAAAGGCCTGTGGCATCACTCTTCAGGGATCCTTTGCCTTTTTATACTGGATGACCTTCACCTTCTGCGAGAGCTGCCTACTTTGCACAAGAGTCATACTCTTTAAGACATAAACTGTACAGGACTAAACTATCTGAGGGCACCAACTATGTTATGTCCCATCATTGTATCTGACATAATCCGGATTGGAAACGTTGAAAACTACATCACAGTTGGGAAGATACAAGAAGCCTTCTCCATTGCAACCACTAACTTTTTCATGCTTTTCCTTCAACACAAGAGTTCCTCTGTGGCATTCTTCCAGTAGAAGCGTAGGGTAAAAATTTTACCATGCAGGATGAGTAAGTGCTATTGGAGATTAGTTTCTAAGCTGGTTCAGGTATTGCACTAGCCTTCCACTTTGTTTCTAGATTCTGATTAGTTAGGTTCCCACAGACATACTTTAAAGCTACATTATAGATAGTATAATACTAAATAGAAAAATCTATCTGGGCATGCAAACTGGTTTTTTATATTAATTTGTATCATAAAGGATTAGTCAATGAAAGCCAGAAGATACGTCCAAGAATTTAGCTCATCCTCTCAGAGAGGAATACATGTCCTCTGCTCTGTCTGCCCCCTGTGAACTTACTTTGAGATGAAAACAGGCCACAATGGGTAACTTCTTCATAGTGAGTTGTTTGGTAGATTCCTGGTAGCTATGGCAACCACTACATTTTATTTTGGCACTGCTTCCTAGATGTTCTGGCCTTGTAAACCTGAAAAAAATATTAAAAAGCAAAGGGATGCACAAAACTATCAGACAATTTTCCACACATGCTGAAAACACTTCTTTTACTTTTACTTGTGGGTCACTGGTACCACAAGAGACAGTTCATGGCTTTGAAGTGTCATTTTGAAAAAACCCAACGGCTATAATAAAGTGCTATGGTTCAGATACCCAAATCTGACATTCATCATTGTTATACTTGGGAACATCGCACCAAAATGTGTCAGTGTCTGAGAAAGGACCTATATGTTAGTTTATCTCCTACAACAGGACAGCTGATTTTCATACAGAAAGTAAAGATCTTTTGTTTTCAAAACGAAAAACATTGATATGGAAGTTCTGAAGCAAGATGACACGACTTTTGTGCTCAGCTGCATGCTATCTGCAGCACACTTTTAGCTTGTAGTCCTCCAGGTCTAGGATCCAAGCTCTGAGATGGAAAGGGCTGTTAAACACAAGGTTCTCTTCAAAATACAGATATCTTCCAAGAAAACCCAAGTGTTGACAACTAGAAAAAACTCTTTCAAAATTTTCAGACAGAGCTGCTCAAGGGAGCTATAGGAAGAGACCATTACAGAATAGAGAACTGCTTAGAGAAAATATACTACCTCCATGTTCTCGCAACACACTAAAGCAAAACATCCTTCACTTTTTCAGAAACTGTCAGCACAGAAAAGACTAGAAGGGTGGACTGTTAAGTCTCTTCTTCCAAGTTTAGATTTCCACAGGGCAAATAAATCATCTCCCCAGAGGCTGCTTTACAACTAGGATTTTCTGAGATGAAATATTTTGAAAGATAATTGAACATTTTACATTAATGCACACACTAAGCACGTGAGGGCAACACAGTATCAGCTCATCACTAACCCTACCTTGCCACATTCTGTTTATAGCCAATGCAACCAATGCAACCTCCAGCATTAAATAATCATCACAGCCTCTTGGTCTCCCCTCTTGTTTGCTTAGCAAGATTTCCTTCAACTAGCCTATTCACCACCATTCTCTGGTTTTGCTTTTTTGATCTCCCCCCCCCTTAAGTCTGTAAAAAGGCTTATAAATTTGTTGTTAGGAATACCTACATCTTTCTGGTTTTTGTCATATTCCTGCTCAGCCTTCCTTCTTCAAGTCAACTTCAAGTTGCATGGCCACACTGGTTGGCATGGAGTTACACCCCTTCCTCATCTGAATTTAATATTCAACCTGCTTGATAAATTTTGGGTAAAAACCTAGACCCATCCACTTCATCCATTGGAGTTCAACTTCTTTCTGAAATCCATACTCTTTGAGAGTATCTTCGAATTTGGATGTTTTTTCTTCCCTATCATCATCTCTCTAATTCCATTGATCCCCATGTTGAAGAAAATGACCAAAATTTGACCAGTTTTGCCTCTTAATGCATTCCTCTATCACCCATTTTTCATTTGTACCAATTCCCTTGTTTTCTTAAAATTACTGATCTTAAAAGTACCAAGATTAGAAATCAGATGTCAGAGGCTATGACTTTTTATTTTGGGAGGATTAGCTTTGCCCCAGGCTACAGATAACCTCTTCCTCAGACATGTATCTTTGACACATATCTGCATTTGCTACAAGAGAATGACTTTCAGATCTGCTGATCTGCTAAAAGATCCAAGTTAACTGTGTATGAAGCCATAACATTCTCACCAGTTACCTGTTTCCATGATGCCCAAGTTTCCTACTCAGCACTATCTTTTCTTTTTGAAAGCTCCATTCCTTTAATTCTTAATGCCATCCCCACAACTGAGCTGGCAGTAGCTGACCCTCAGCTCTGCTTAGAGCAAAATCAGATTAATACTTGGTGTTATAATTTAGACAAATATTAAATGCATTGTGAACTCTTTATGTGCTTGCTTAGCTGACACAACCAAGAACATGGAGGCAGACACTAGTGGTTTCAAGAATTTAAAACCACATTGCCTGGCAGCAGGCAACGTAAAATTTGTTTTGTTTCTGCATCGCGTAGCAACTGGTTTTGATTGCTTATTGTTAGGCCTGCTGTTGCTCTGAGCCTTCTTTGCCTTTTCACTTTCTCTTATGCAAAAACCTAAAATATGTATAAAAATGCTGTTTGGGGATAATGCCATGACAAAGCATCACTTACTCCCATTGTTCAGTGCCACCTGGAGAACTGAATGAAGCCAAATTCTTTTTATCCCACCAAAATTGTTGTTTGTCTCATTTCATACCTTCGCAAGCAGTCTGTGAGAGTGGTGGTGCCTGATACATGGCTTTCCCCATTTACGACACTGCCATCACTCCCCGGACTCAGTGGCCAGAATGGGGTGGAGGAGCCTGGCAAATCCAAACTGATGTCCCAAAATGGGTCTATCGTTGTGGAAACGCCACTATGAAAAAGAAAGCAGTTTAATACATGTTTAAAGGAAGCAAAATTAACAGTCTCTCTCACTTTAGGGTGCACACCAGATACTTACTTTTAAGAACTACAGGATCTACATCACCTCTAGAGGGCACTCAAAGATGACAGAAAATAGAGTTGCAGCGAAGTGTTTTCCCACAACTGACTTTTTCTGAATATTTAAAAGCCATATGTTTTAGGAAAGCTATGTGATGTACTAAATGCAAAATATATGCATTTAATACAGTCTCCCACTCACTGGAGCCCTGTGACTCAGAGAACCAGCAAGGTTACTCAGAGATAGAGGTACTGGTCATACTACTGACCAGTATAAGCCAGCAAACAACTATGATAGCTATGTGCAATCCAACTAGTTTAGAAGCATTGTTCTCTGGTCAAGACATGGAAGATGGTGCTAAAGGCTACTTCGCTAACAAGAGTGCCAAATACTTTTGCTACACAGTAGTGCACTGAATTAAGCTTTGCATTTCGTATCAGCATCTCCTACAGCATTTGGAATTTGAGAGGCCGAAGAATAACTGCATCAAGAAGTAGTGTGTATTCTCAATCAGATTTCTCTACAAAACAGCTGAAGACAAGCCAAAAGCTACACTATGGAAAAAGCTTCAAAATTTTAACTTGTATTGGCTCAAATCTTTTCTTCCAGTATTCACATTTTTAAGACAACTCCAGAACTTCAGGGGTCTCAGCTCCTAGTTTGGAAGTATTTTCTGTTCGTACTCGTTATGCTTATTTTGTTAGTTCTCTCTTCCTCTAAAACTACTGTCTTTCACTCTGTAATCTCATTAAGCCTACAATATTCTGCCTTTTTTCCAGCTTCATTTGTGCAAAAGTTGTCAGTTTTCAAAAGAAAACTTCTTTTGTTAAAGTTTCATCAATGCCAATATTGCATCATAACACATCAAGCTTTTCATGATCATATGTGCCCCTGTACTTGGCACTGGTGAGGCCGCACCTTGAATACTGTGTTCAGTTTTGGGCCCCTCACTCCATGAAGGACATTGAGGTGCTGGAGCGTGTCCAGAGAAGGGCAACGAAGCTGGGGAGGGGTCTGGAGCACCAGTCTGATGAGGAGCGGCTGAGGGAACTGGGGGTGTTCAGTCTGGAGAAGAGGAGGCTGAGGGGAGACCTTATCGCTCTCTACAACTACCTGAAAGGGGGTTGTGGAGACGAGGGTGTTGGTCTCTTCTCCCAAGTAACTAGTGACAGGACAAGAGGAAATGGCCTCAAGTTGCGCCAGGGGAGGTTTAGATTGGATATTAGGAAAAATTTCTTCACCGAGAGAGTGGTCAGGCATTGGAACAGGCTGCCCAGGGAGGTGGTGGAGTCGCCATCTCTGGAAGTGTTCAAAAAACGTGTGGATGTGGCACTTCAGGACATGGTTTAGGGGACACGGTGGCACTGGATTAATGGTTGGACTTGATGATCTTGAAGGTCCCTTCCAACCTAGTGATTCCGTGTGTGATTCTGTGTGTGATATAAGGTTTCTGTGGCTCTACCAGGCAAAGAACAAAATTTCATGTTTTCCTTACAGTAAACCTTCTGCAGATCTCTCCAGGAAACTGAGAATCAAAGCAGATTCAAACAAACACAGCACAACAGTCCATCTGCAGGACAGCGTGCATAATTATAAAGAATGCAGGACAGAACAAAAAAATAAGAACTCTGACTTCTGTACTATGGCAACACCAAACATCTTGAAAGAGCAGTCAACTTGCTCCAATACACAGAGTAGAACAACAAATACATTTTTCCTTACTCTTACAAATAACATTCACTTGCTGGTACTCTGGATTACATTAGTATCAGCCTCTTTGAACCTCCTGGTGATGCATAGGCTCCTAACTGAAGGGAAATACGGTTGCGTATCAGAATTTTCTTCAAATGTAGTGGCAATTACGTACTTTCAAAACCAATGAGATCTTGGAAGTCTTTTCCTCATGAACTTGGGAAAGAACAACCTTTTACAGACTAGTAAAAAGTTTATGTTCATAAACCCATGGTACTTTGCAGGTAGGTTTTTTTGGTATGTCTTAATACATAACAGTTAACTAATAATTGATTGCATTTAGCTAATGCTACATTTAAACAGTTCTTGTCTTGCTGGAATTTGCTGGTATTTTATCTGTATTCAAGAAAATACTCAGTACACTATTGCACTGGAGGGCATACAGCTTCAACTCAGTGCAGAATCAGAAAAAATTACTTACTGGCAGACTTGACAGGTAACATCAGACTGCAGTCCGCCTGTGAAGATTTGGTCTATGATGCAGTTACAGTGGTTGGGGTTGTTGGCCTTCTTCCCGTTATCATCACCTGGAGGAATGCAAACACAAACTCAGAAGTCAAAAATCCTCCTAGGGAAGAGTGGTTTGTCTTGGACTGCAACTCCAGTAACTCTTTATAACGCAAAGTTATAAACATACTGCAAGGTCACATAGATTATAATATGGAACCCTGAAAATGTTGTGCATTAAAGAAAAACGACAAGAAGAGAACTCCTAGCAAAATGTAGACTATAATCAGAAGGTGACTAAATGCAGTTAACTCCTTATAGAGGTGAAGCTTTAAGTCATACCAGCTGTCAGCCAACTCCCTTTTCAGAGTGTAGCTGTATCTCCCTTTACAGAGGTTTGCTGTGCACTATTTGGTGTAAAGATCAGTTCCTAAGATGAAGGAGTTGCCAAGGTGGTTCATGAAAAAGACTGTTTAAACCTCACTTAGAGGGCCACTGTGCAACATTTGTATCTAAACAAATGGCCAGCTCTTTACCACAGAAGCACTAATTTCTGCTTAGGCAGAGTATTCAATAGCACATTACTTTCCTAAATGAACGCAGAGGCGAAACATCAGCAGATCCTAGTTTTTAATTCTATCCCAGTCAACTTCTGAGAGCAGAGTGAGGGGAGGAGGTTTGTTAAGACCCGTTAACCTCCAGCCTGCTGTCTGCATCCTGTCCTTTCAACACAAACACGTACCTTCCCTTCAAGTTTTCACCAGTGAGAAAATGAAAGATGTCCTTATCTGAAGTGGGAAGATAAGCGCTGTGTCTTCCTCCACCTTCTTCAGAGACACTGCAATCCTCTACGTTCCCAAGGGGCACAATGAATGCATACCCATCTTTTAGGCATTATAAACTGCCACTGCAGGTCTCGGCTGCCCAGCAACTCATTTCTATGATTTGAGTGCTGAGATTAGGCCAATTCAGCTTTCTTAAGACTAACCAGAACATTAAATAACCAAAAATTTCTTGGCACAGTTCTTTGCTTTAAAGCATTCTCCTTCCATTCCCCATAGGTGAACTAGGAGTGATACATTTTTTCTTTGATTTCCAAGACTGTACTCCTCATTTACTTGGGTAGGATAGATGCAATTGGTTTTGCTTTGTAAACAGAGATGCACATACAAATTATTTCACAGCACCTGCTAATTATTTTGTAAAGTACATCTTAAGGTGCCTTCCAATCTCCTACAACAGAAACTGCTAAGACAGAATCAAGTTTTGCCAGATTTCCAAGTATCTTTAATATACTAGGAAGTATTTCAGTTTCAGAAATTAAATACCAAGATGCTGACTCCTCAAATCAGAGCTATTACTCAAAAATAATGAATTTCTAATCAAGCATGTTAAAAAAAAAAACATCTAAGAAACTAAAAGCATAGGGAACCCCCCCCCCCCACTTTCCTTGTGGCTAACGTGCTCTAGCTGGAGTCTTCTTGCAGCAGAAAGGAATGAGATGATTTTTCTCAATGTAGCTTTAGAAGTTTGTTGGAAAATATTACAGAAGTTAACAAAGGTTCCACCTGGTACTAAGTGTGGAAAAGCAGACATAGGTGATACCTACTAAGCTGCAATGAGCCACTCAGTTAATTAGACCCTAAATGCCTCAGATGAGCTCTCATGCAGCTGACTGCTCTAGAAACTTTTGTTGGAATTGTCAAGAAAAGCATATTGTTGCCTTAAAACTGCTCTTGAACAACATGCTCTAAAATTAGATTGCAAATGTACAAGGTTCAAGTTGGGGCTTATCAGACTCAGTCTCAGGCATTTCTTGATGGGAATTTCAGCTAAATCTTATTGAACTTAGGATCTTTTTAAGGTCTCAATTAAGCTAAACTAATGAATAAAGCATACAGTATAGAGACTGTACAAGATATTCCTCACCTTTAGAAAAAGATCACTTACAAGCTTTAAAGACTACATGTGAATTTAAAAAAATAATTTAATGGCTTTTATCCTTGCTTTTAAAACTCCACTTTTTCTTTTTAAAGAAACAACACGCAACTGCCAGATGCCTGTAACCTCACCATTTGAAACATCACCTCCCTCTGTTTTATTTCGAGGGGGCAGAAGCAGAGAAACAACGTCTAGAGATTTTGACTGGACCACAGGTAACATCCCTGTTGGACACCTTTAATAGACAGCCATTTCCGCCTACAAGAGAGAATTAACACTCCCTTTTCAATTATACAAGACAATTAGGATCAGTGACGAGAGGGTCTCAAAAGAATATCGTGTGAGCTTGTTCCCAGCAAAACAGAAGGGCATTACCCACTCAACATTATTTCCCATGACATTTGGTTGGAGAGGAGGGGGGAAAAAAAAAAAGTAAAATTACCACCTACTCACACTTGTCAATATGTAGCAGATGCTGAGAGGAGGTATATTATGCAGCTGAGAACTAGAAGCTGCTAGATTGTTGTGCTCAAGTTAAGGTTCCCTTCAACATTTCTCTCTCACAAAGTAGGGTTCAGTTTCATACATTTTCATTTTTAAAGCTGGTCGTAATTCCTACTAGGGAAATCAGCAGCTTCTTGTAAGGCATAGGTCAGCACAAGACTAAAACGAAAACTTGAAAATACATCCATGTATACACTTATGTGATTACGGGAATGGCAGAAAATTAAGTTTAAAAGTTTGGATTCAAATTAAATGCAACTCTTAAAAAAAACAGAAGTTGCTACTGCGTCTGTGCAATAACTAAGCATATTAACTTGTGTTCAAATATATACACATTTAAATACTAAAGGTAAATCGTATGTAACAACTGTAAGAACAGCTACAGATGACTTTTTAACTTTGTTTTAGAAATAAAGAAGTTTCGCCTCCAACTTCCATCATGTATTTTAAATGCAAAAAAAGAATTTAAAAATTGCCAGATTTTAAAAGGGGCATTTATCAAAATGACGTTAATGTTGACTTTTCTGCTTTACCTTGGTCCCCAGTGTTCTGAACATGTGCTTGTTATTCTTTATGACAAAGTAGCATACACACAAATTTATATGGATCATAGCAGATGACATGTTTCGCAAGCACATGCTTTATCAGTTCCTAAGAAAATCATGCAGAATTCAGAGCAGGGTAGTGTTTTACTCCCAAATCTCAGCACAGCATTCTTTTTCTGCCATGATGCCTAGCACCAGTTACAAGTAAATGCAAAAATGCTTCATGAAACCCAGATAAATAAGGAATAATCAGCTCTAAAGTACTACTCCTTTTTTTGTTAGACAACTGAATAACATTGGCTGAATCAAGTTTAGGATAAAAATATAGGATTATTTCAATTTTTTAATCTTGCTCTTGAACTTTTGTGTACAAATGCCCATCTCTGCCACTCTCTGCTGCTCGACTGCTGTTGCTCTTGCAATAAATAAATAAATAAATGAGCAAACCAACCACTCAGCTACTGATTTCACTGGGCTGAATATTAACTTTTGAATTGCAGTCTTGCTCCATACAAGAAAACAACAACTCCGGTATAAGTTTCTCCAAGTTCAAATATGTCCGAGACAAAGTCAGTAAACTACAAAGTGTTTGGATGATTGGAACCTCACTGTCAAGGGAGTTTGCAGAATTAGAACCCTGAGTTTCTTCTGGAGAACTGACAATTAAGATGTATCTGATGTTGACTAAAAGCTGACCTAATGCTTTTACACACTAGGCAGAAATACCCATTTTATTTACATTCCTCTAACAAACTAAGAGCCCTGGAACTCCTGAAGGATCCCACATGAAGAATGGGGTAAACTTTGTACTTGCTCTTCATAGAAGTCTAAGAAAACATGCAAGAAGCAGCAGAACATGTCTGATCGTTTTCAGCATCTTCTATAATCCAAACTTATTCAGAGACTGAAAATCAAAGCTGTGATGCATTTTAAAGATCAAAGTCAATCATGCCGAAGTCCAGGTGAATGGCTAGACTCGAGTACAAAGAAGGTGGCCTTTACCTACACAGCAAGGCTCTTTATCGCATTAGTCTGGTGAAGAAGCTAATACCTCATGTAGAGTAAGCTCTGAATCTCATTTGGAAGCTTTTGTGGTGAGAAGGACCACAAATGCCAGCACATAATGACACTGCAGAACTCTGAGCACTATCAAATCAGCGAGAGAGACGGGAATAGCACAAAATGCAGGTACACCTTTAAATGTCATTTATAGTAACAATGTTGGGAAAAGAATTCAGATTCAAGAAAGCTCCTGGAGAAATGCTTAGAGTATGTATTTAAGGACAGACCTTGTGAACATTTTGGCTGAATGGTAGAGAAAGGAGTAATTAATAGCTTAGCTCCCCCCTCCCCCCAATACTATTTTCCAGTTAGTCCATCTCTATCCAGCTGCTGGAATGAAAAAATAGTGATGCATAGGCATGACAGACTAGATTCCTTTTATTCAGATACATTTTATATTACTCTGGCAGCATAGGAGAGCCCTGTGAAATGTTCAGAATATGCCTGGCACAGATTCCCCAGCTGAACACAACAGTGCTGGCACAAGGAGAGTTACCACCCCTGAGACATGATTTACATGGGTGATCATACAGGTATCCTGGGCTTCCAAAACCTTCACAGACGCCACTAAAACAAAATATATATTCAACCAGCATTAGAAAAACCAAAACCAAAAACCCCCAAACAACTACCTGGGCCAGTCCATACATGAATCTCAGGGCTGTTTATTTTATGTTTTGTAGCATGCAGTATTACAAAACTTATTTTTAAATGCACATGAAAGTCATCTATTTTTCCTGATTTAGGCAATGACAGATACCAATAACGAGCATTCACAGACTTCTGTGACCTGCATTCGGGCACTTCCTAGAAAGCAGAGTAAATAGAGCAGAAAAATAAATGACCAATGTCAGCCACTCAGATATCACTGGATATCTATACAGCTCCTAGCATAAGGAACACTTTCATTTACTTTGGTGATCATGAAAAACATCCAAAAGCTAGGGCTTTGTCCAAAAGGACAAAATTTTCCCCATACTTTATTTTACTCCACTGTGCGTTAATTGTAGAACTTGATTACTATTGACTGGAAGCTTTAAAAGCTTTTTTTGATTCAGTAAATTAAATGCTGTAATATGGTATATATATTATATTGTATATAGTTATATATAGAGAGAGTAATATAAATACGTAATATTGGCAGGGGCGGCATTATTTGGTCATTGCAGCTTTAGGGCATATTCTCACTATTAGTAATAATATTTTTACATATGTACACTTCATATGTGTGTGTGCCTGTGTGCATACATAAGTATGAAAGTGGGAAAACTTGCTCATTACATAGCAAACTAGTTCATTCCAAAAGTGGTTTATCATGACCATACTTGAATTTCTAGTTTAGGTGAACTGGTTTGGTTCCCACACAACTGCTCAACAACTTCTTTTAAATTACCTTGATGTGGTATAGATTATTTACCGTAGCTCAGTACAGTCCTTTTCTTCAGAAACAGAAATTTAAAGGCCTGGGTGCAGAGACGACAAGGATCTAGCACTAATGCCTTCCCACTAATAGTGCTGTAACAGCTTAGTTATGTCCATGCAAGTAGCTCAAACTTACGGATACTCATTAAATAACTGAATTTCAGGCCTTGTCTTGAATGTAATGGTACCTTCGCCACAACCCAGAAGAGCTCACTACTAAAGATGCAAAAACCCCTAACTCAATTCAAGCTGGTTGAAACCATTAGGAAACTTGATACCAATTCAGAAGTCAGTGTTTTCAACACATCTGTGTTAGCCAGCCAGTAGTAAAAGAATCCACACACATGCACATGCTCTTTCCAAAGAATGTCTAATTTCAAAGTTGTAGGGCAGATCACAGTCTCATTTTCATTCAGGCTAGAGAGGCCAAATAGAACCAAGAATAAAGAAACTGTTGAGAAAGCTTGATTTTGTTGGTAATTGCAGAAGATACATCAGGTAGATTCTTCATTTAAAGCCAAGCCACACTTTAAAAAAAAAGTCTTCAGATTCTTTTATCAGTTTGAAAAGAGCGCAGGGACCTTTATTGTTGCAAGCTTTTTCTTTACAATTCTGAGAAAATACTCCTCCTTCATGAACTAGTAGGGAAGAAATACAAACATCTGTAGCAAATACAAAATACTTATTTGCAAATAAGAGCAATATTCTGGAACAAATAAGAAATACGAACAGGCTGGAGAAGAGAAGGCTCTGGGGAGACCTTACTGCAGCCTTCCATTATTTAAAGGGGGCTTACAAGAAAAAAAAGGGGACAAACCTTTTAGCAGGGCCTGTAGTGATAGGACAAGGGGTAATGGTTTTAAACTAAAAGAGGGTAGATTTAAACTATCAGGGTGCTGAAACACTGGAAAGGTTGCTTAGAGAGGTGGTAGATGCCCCAGCCCTGGAAACATTCCAGGTCATGTTGGACGGGGCTCTGAGGAACCTGCTCTGGTTGAACATGTCCCTGCTCATGGCAGTGAGGCTGGACTAGATGACCTTTAAAAGGTTCCTTCCAACCCAAGCTATTCTATGATTTTACAATCATTTTATATAGAAGATGATGAAAAAACTCCCAAGATTTGTTAGATCAGTGATTCAGAAACTTTACAGGAACCATGATGCATTTCTGTCTGCAGCTGAGTTTATTCAGTATTAAGAAGTGAGAGGTCAGTATTTGGATAGACTCTATTCCTTACAGTACTTCAACACCAGTTTCATTAAGCTTATTGAATTTCAGTTAGTGATTGTCAAATGACAGATATTAGTAATTACAAAAGAACTGTTCTGTGTACTCCTGTCCTTAGAAGTACCTTTTTTTTTTTTTTTTGGAGAAGACTCTTTTGGAGGACAGCTATCTATTATGAATCTGAACAAGCACATCTGCTACCATGTAAGACCATCTCAAAGATAAAAGCAAGACTTCAAAATGTTTCAAAGAGGCAGGAGCAGCTTTCCCTTTGATAGTCCTCTGATAAGCAAAAAACCCTAACCTCTAAGGACCTTTTCTAAGAGCACTAGAGGAAAGTTGAGTGCTTTAAAGCTTATTTTTAGTGACTAAGAATTTGTTTGTTTGTTTTGCTGGTATCAACACTACTATTTTTCCCTTACAAGAACAGTAAAAAGTTCTGTGCTTAAGTGAATCAAGCTAGATCAAACACTGGCAGATTGGGAAATTTTCAGTTCAGATTTAGTTCAGTTAACTAACACGAAATACGTAATTTCATATGATACTATCAAATCAATCCAAGATTTAGAAACTTCATCTCTAAAAGCATGTCACTGAATATGTTTACTGTATTGTACACTTATGTATTTTTATATATAGACTAATAAAAGATACCAAAACCAAATACTAAATTTTTTCTTATTCACATCTCTGTATGCAATTGGCCACCATAAATACAGTAGAATATTTAAGCAGAGCAGTTGTAGCCTCCCCTATGTTATTTTCATCAGTCCCATGACACACTGAGTAAGAATTCTAACTACCTCAAGTATAAATAGAATTAAAATGGCAATTTAAAAGAAACGACAGTGACTCACAACCAATAAGAGAACATCATGATGGTGATTTAAATCAATGTACAGGCTTGTCTGCTGCTAATTCTAGATAGTTTTTGACAGTAGGAATGGTTTGTTTATTTATTTACAAATCTTTTCCTTTAAGTCTACCAAACATTTTTAAGGGAATTTGCTAAGACTGCTGCACTGGATGACACTACACTTGATTTAAGAAGAGATTGTTCTACCTCCTTTTGATCCAATATTCCTTGTTGATTGAAGACTCAGTACAAGCCTTACCTTTGCAGTGTCTGTGTAGCACATCTAATGCAGCAATGAGGAACTCGTGTGCATCTTGTTGCTCGTACCCTGCTAAATGCCGTGCATGAGTCCATACCAGGTGCAATAACCTATATGGAATGTGAGGAGATCGGTGCCCAGAGTAAAACTGCTCAAAGCAAAGAAAAGGACATGACTGTTAACAAGTTACACAGCCTCAGTGCATTTAATTATTAAAAACTTAAATGAGTACAATTAGTCAAATAAATTTAAACCATTTAATTCTGATGGCCTTAATATAATAGAGACTTTTTCAAATCACAGACTACTGAAGAATTGATCTCAGAACTCAGCACCTCAATTTCATCCCTTGAAATTCTTTCATTTTGTAACGGATTAGCCTAAAATAAAATAAAAAAAAGGGGGGGGAGGGGCAAAGACTCAAAAATTCCTTACTCATACCACTGGCTTTTATTAAAACAGTCTGGAGAAAAAAAAAAATCCTTTTTTACATTTTAAATCTGCATTTACAGATCAGCAATTTTATTCACAAATTACATGCCCCCCCCAAATCAGGACAAACACTGAAGATGAGACTATCAGATGCCAACTGCCATCCAGCCCCTGAACCAAGCCATGGCAGCTTTCTGCATCCAATAGGTGTGCATGATCCTGTCTTATGGAAAAAATTACAAGCAGGATAGCAGCCTCATGCCAGTACTGGCCTTTCACTGTACAGCTATAGCAGCAGAAGGCTTTAGAACCAACTTTATTCAACACAGCTGTTTGCAGAACTGCAGATACCACTTCCTTCACCCATCCCCAAAGTCAGCTGCCCATTACCGCTCCTGCAGGGAGTCACTGCCAGAGTTCTGGTCCTGGACCAGCTCCTGCATCTGCTTCTTGATCTGCTTCAGTCACAATCTGACAAGCTGGCTACCGTAGTGACTGAAATTGCCCCAGGTGATTTTGCCAGAAATGTATTAGAGAGTGCACAGACAAATTATTCAGTCGGCAAAAGCATGATGTGAAACATCACTGCTGAGTGGTGACAAACAGCTGGGGAGGTAAATCAGCAGAGGAGAACAGGTAACTGCCTACAGAAATGCATGCTTTTCCCTTTTTTTTTTTTTTTTAATAAAAACCAGCCAGGTCCCACTTTAAAAAAGCCACCCCCCACACGCACACCCACACCCAGTTAAGGGTCTGTGTTTCCCTGGGTCCAAGTTCAGCCCCTTCCTTCACCCTCTCCATTTCCATCCAAGTGCTACTGCTGCAACTCTTCCACTTTCATCTTCCTGGGTCCTCACTTCTGCTGCCAATTCTGGCATCCAGAGCCTGAGACTAAAGCTAACAGTCCCTTCTTGAGCAAGCTGACTTCTGTATCTGTTTACGAACCCCTGCACCATGATACCAGTTCCAAAAGCAAAGCAGAGATGCTTGTGGTGTCCCTGCAGGGAGCCAGAAAAGGCCCAAAAGAGTTTATTTACTTGGGTTTCAGGTTGTATATAACGGGATAACGTTTCGTTTTTTATAAGTGGAAATTCATAAGTCATTTTGCCTTCTCTAACCTTTGGAAAAGGTATCTGCCAGTAAACGATGCCTGCAACACCACGATTATGTTTTGCCAAGATCCCATCAAAATCAATGGCAGTTTATTTTCAGTTACTCTTCCCAAACAGAAGCCAGTAAGCAGTAAATACACAGAACAAAAATAAGAGTTAAACCTCAGCGGTATATGATTTCTCACTCTCATTGGAAAAGCAGGCTTCCTCCCCAGCCCTTAGTTTCTCCCTGCCCAGTCTCTGAGCATTTTATATCAGTGCAAGCACAGGTATTGTGCTACAAACCTGCCTAGATAAAACATATTCTATTTTAAGGGACAGGTAAGCAAAAGGTAGTACAATCTTCTCATCTAGTCCTCACATCTGCAGGGTTTTCTAAGGGGTTTCCTTGCAAAGAAATTTCTTTATTGCAAGCCCTGCTTTTTCCAAACAAGAAGATACACCTCTGCAGCCAAACAACACAAAATGCTTCTATAAATAAAAAGATCAATAGTTAACTCTGATGCCAACAAGAATGACACCAAGGGACTGGAGCAGTAGTATGGTAATTGAAATCTGCTGACGCAGCTGCTGCTCAACGTAATTCAGGGAACTGCAGCAATAAAACTTCCCTGTTCTGTCACTCCTTACAATTAGTCCCAGAGCTCTCCAGTCATTTTAACCACCAGCACTCTCCGTAATTACTCCACTGCAGACACTAGACCTGCCAGCAGATTCTACATTTTCTAGTGCTTCATTAGGATTAGAAGAATCTAACAAGAAGCTTTATCAAATTATTAACTATTGTCACACAGAAACTAGAAACACCCCTAGTAAGAACGCCGGTGAATATACGTGGGGGTGGGAGAAAGCTTCACTGCTCTAACAGATCAAGAGCGAAACAAAAGAATCTGAGCATACTCAACTGCAATATTTTAACTGGAATGTATAAAACATTCATCACATCTCTGTCATTTCCTTGTTGCTGGGATGACCAGCCTATCAGAGCTGTTCCAATCCACAAAAAGGAAAAAAGTCCATATAAAGTCTTATTCAATCACTAGAATACAAACCTTTTCAAAGTGTAAAAATGTAAGTGACGATGTATTTGCAAGTCATCTTTAAAACACTTCAATGGCAAAATTCTTTCAAATGTAATTTAAAACAATTTTTGTTTAAATTTGTTTTCAGTTCAGCAGTATCAGTTGTTTATATTGGAGAGAACTAGTTTAAGCAATTTGAAAATGCTTGGTAATACACTGTTTAATTGCTGTTCCATGGAAGGAAGGGAAAAAAAACCCCAAACCAGCCTCCATTCTTAACCACAACCCCAGTAACATTAACTTTCATTTTTTGCACTGAAACATTTGCTTTTGGATTCTAACAGGGAGAATCTATAGGGGATTTAGAGAATTCCAGGCTTTGTATTTTGCGTTATTGTTATTAAAAATATATAGATACCCGTCAGGTTTAAAAAAAAACCCACAAAACAAAACACCACCACAGACATCTGCACTTCTTTCTCCTCCTCCTGCCAAAAACACATGCACAGAAGTTTCCCAATTATGTGAACAACCAGATAACATTTGATCTGTCCCGCATATGTATCAAATAAACAGTCTACAAGCTTTGTAACCAAGAATTTAAAGGCGTAAATCCCGTCCCAGGCTCCAGTCTAATTTGAGAAGCTAAAACCTCCTCTTAGAAATTGGTTCTCAATTAAGACTTTAAATGTTCTGAAAATTTACAGCAGGTAAAAGCAGCAGCCAATACATGCAACTTTCAGAATTAAAAAAACCTACTGGAGGTTTCCCAACAAAAAGCAATGGTTCTAGGAGTCAGAAAAACTATTTTACTTGCACACACTCTGTATGTTCTATACTTATTTCAGAGAACAGATTTTACCAAATTGGCACAAACTCTGTATTTTCCATTACAAAATGCAAGGCCTCTCTCAGTCTAAAGGGCCTTAACTACTTTTTCTCCCTTGTACCTTTGTTGTAACTTATTTGTACATAAAGCCATTGCAACAGCGTACCATCTTAAGGTATCAAAGCCATAAATCATCTCATTCTTTTTCCTTTTTGTCCTCACTTCTCAACGCTCCACGTAGTTGTGCTGTGCACTTTGATAGGCTCATGAGGATGAGTAACGATGGGAATAAAGAAGGCTTTGTTCTTTACACCTCTGAGTGGATGAGCTGCATTCTCCTATATGCCCAGGTGTTCTTGCTATTCCAGTCACAGAGTACACCGAGACACAGACCTGCTAATCCTACCATCCTGAATGGCCATTCTGTAGAGGATTTAGATAAACCTTAGGGTGTGGACCATCTTGAAATTCATTTTCATTGGCGAAGCAAGACTAAAACACAAATACCAGTAGGTAAAAAGTAGTGCACAAACCCTTTCAGCCAAAAGGCTCAATGAACGGATTCTGTGTGTTCTATCTTCCCTCCATCCAGTTTCACCACTATCTGTTATTCCCAAATCCTTTTCATTCCTTTTCTTATGCAGTGTAATTCATGTCATGATTTCTATTGAGAAATAGGTTTCAAGTAGCACAAATGAGAATGTTAATTGATGCAGTCAGATATTTTTAAAACAAACAGATTCAATGCTTGGCATATTCGCAAGAAAAGCTACCAGGAAAAAAGAAACGCAATTCTAAGAACCATCTGACACTCATTACTCACCATCAACCTACTTCAAGGTGGAAGAACTCTGTAGCTTCCTATTTATTACAAAGAAGTCACACAACCTATATAACTAAATGATCTTAAACAAACAAAAGGGACAAGTATTTTCTGTTTAAGCAGCAAAATAGCAAAATGCTTATTCATGTATAGTAAGTTTCATTTAATGTTCAAAACAGTCCTTTTCTCCTGGAGAGTTCTTACTGGCAGGCATGCACCAGATCCCCTGGCATTCCATTTGCCTAAGATCACACCTTCAGAAAAGAAGGGTGGAGGGGAGACGAAGTTAACCCTTGCCCTGATCGTTTGTCACTGGGTAAAATGCTTTGGGATAACTACATCAGTTAATCCTGGTGGGAAAGCTACACAAAAAAACAAGACAGAACCTGAACCAAAGTTTCCCCGGTAATTCAATTACAAAGGAATTCTAAAGCATAGCACCGCAATCTCCACTGGTTAGCTTTCCTTCATTCAGGCCTCATCTCTGCAAAGACAACGTAGGAATCTTCGTCGCAACCACTGCATATAGTTGAGACAGGAAAGATAACCAGTCTGCTCCAAAAAGGCAAGATTTTGGTTTTAATTCTGCATGTAGAGAAATTAAAACTCACTGGGAAGAATTTCACAATGAGTGCTGACAGAGCTATAAACATAACGTGGTATTTTCTGCTTGCAAGTTAAAATACACCGAGTTGGTTGCAGACACTACAGTTTTGCTTGTGGAGGACTAAGCTCTAGTTTTACTTCAAGGTGGTTGAGTCACTTTTTGTTGCCCTCCCACGGCACACAGCTGCAGTATTCAACATGAAATAAGGACACTGACTACTGTACTGCTATCTTCAGTATCTTCTTCTGGTATCACAGATATGGCTCTTCCCTCACTCATATACCCTCATGCTGCAGAACATTAATTATTACGACTAATGCAAGTGTAGGCATGAATTTTGATTGGGGAAAATGAAGGCTGAGATTCCCAAAGTTGCGTGTGAAATCCAACTCGATTACAACTGAAACTAATGTGAATGCTGCATTTAAACCCTATTTTGGATAACAGCCTGTTCTTTGTTACATGCTTGTATGTAGTCTAGCAAAAGGCATCCTAGACCATCAATAAGGCTCCACATACAAAAAATGGAAATAAAAATCATTACCTAGACAGTCTTGATCTCTCCTCCAGCCCCTCAATCTGTAAGGTAATACTCATTTCCCCTTTCCCAAGGGATTTTTTAAAAACACATGCGTATAAACAGAATGCGGTGATATTCATCGGAATGAGACTTTATATCACAATTTGATGAAAGAATATAAGATTATAACAGTACTTTTTTTTAAATAAGCAAATTGGTTTCTATATTAAAAGTGTACAGAAACTGGTGTTTCTATATCATGACTCATTTTTTTTATCTAGACAGAGTGCTATTTCCCCATTTAACTGCACATCTGGTTTCAATAATCTTGCAGCTGCTACCTATTGGTATGCCTGCCTTTTGTTTTTCCCTCCTTTCCTGACAGACTCAGGAATAATTGAAAAATAAATCAAAAAATAAGAAGTATAACATACAATTAATGACCGATAAGCAGTATGAGAAGCTGCAAATTCACGAGTGCCGAGTATGAGCAGAAAACAACTTTGTACTGGAATGGCTAAGGGGGACTTTACCTTCCACATATGTTTAACTTGCCTGCAATGACCAAAAAGAATAATCTCTAGTGAAAAAGGCACAGAAGTAAAATTAAATTGAAAAATCACAGGATAAAGGTAAAGCTATTTTAGACTGGTCTCAGTCTGGACCAACTTCCATGACAGCATATACACAAAACACATGCTCTGTGTACAGACATCTCCAGCTCTCTTAAATGCTCTGTGACAGCATATACTACAGCTTTTTGGGAGGTTTGGTTGTTTTTTGGGGGGTGGGTTTGGGGTTTTTTTGTTGTTGCTGTTGTTGGGTTTTGTTTTGTTTTTTAACTTACCAAGAAAGCAGATCTATCACTGAGGAAAAGGCACAGAACCAGATTTGTTTGTTTGTTTTTAAAGATTCATCTTCAAATTAAAAACCCATGTCTAGTCACAGTCCTTACACTACTGATGCGGAACCAAGACAGTTAATAAAGTTCTTTGACTATTTTTTAAGGAAAACACTGCGCCTGTCTCACACAACACAGACTGGACCTACGGAGAAAGGCGCATTGCAAAGCCAGTCACCTGAGCGAGAAGGGGAAAGAAGAGCAGCCCACACATGGAAGGTACAAACTGTACCAACACATTCACTTTTCTACACCCTCCTGGGCATTAATGGGTTTCCATGTAAGAGATGGTTAACAAAGATGTTTCTTGCTGTTAGAAAGCACTGACTCAAGATCTTTAAAATATTTATACAGATCTACATAATCCAGTGCCTTAAACTACAAGGCTATATACTATTGCTTTATCCTTAGTCCCATTATCACCCAAAGAGCCCGTGACATATTTTCCAGTTACAACTTGCACCTTTAATTAAAGCACACATTCAGCTTTAAGACTAAAGACTTGCAGATCAGTCTCAGAAGAGCAGGCAGCACTGTAATTATTTCCAATACCAGCTTTGCCTAAACAAGGGTGACTTAAGAATAGGACTTAAAAGGCCAGCAGTTTCCTTTCCAGCAGTCGGGTATTTTTGACAGTAGAGTCTCACTCAATCTACTGCTCTGTTTTGCCACACCTTGAGGGAAAACATAATTTGCATTCCCTTTCTACTTGCAAATCCCTTTTGGGGTAAGAAACAGCCAGCGTCTGTGGAAAGGCGATGCTATTGTGGCAAACAGCACTCACCTCCTGAAAAAGCGTAGACATTTCACAGACCAGACATGAGCTGGGGCTTTGCATTTCACATTTGTGCCTGTCGGAGAGGAAGAAATCTCGCAGCAGTGGAGTGTGGGTAAGTGCCTGGACAATACAGTTCATAAAACATGTGTTCCCAAGATTGATTAGCCCTCGTAGACCTATAAAGACAGAAGGGGGAGGGGATGCATAAGCATTATCAAGTTAACAAAATGGTATATTTGCATTTTTATATAGTTTTCACAATATTGCCACAGATTTAATGTATATGCACAGCTCCAAGTATACAGTTTTACACTGTTTTAGGTGAGCTATTGGTTTTGATGTACTCAAGGTACAATATGCCACAAGCTTTCTGACTTACGCTAGGTTTTTTGGGTTTTTTTTAAATTCTCAGAAGAAAGGAAACCTCAAAGTACAGCAACACCAATAGCATTATTTTGCAATGGCTATTTTGCCATACGTCACCAAAACATGCCCCCTCCCCAAGCTGATACCCAAGTGCAACGACAACAACTGGTTAAGTCACTGTAGTATGAACCAATACATTTAAATAGATCAATAAGTAAGTTTTCAGATAGTTTTAAAGGCTTTCCCTCATGCAGGTCACGAAGCCAGAATAAGGTTTTTGTACTGTTATAACGCAACAACCATCTAAGACAGGCAGCAAAGGAAACAGCCTTGACAAAACCAAGTCGGGCTGTGACATCCAATGCAGACTTAGCATCTCCTTTCTTTGTACAAAACCTGAGATCCAAACAAGACAACCTTAAAGAGAAACTCTGAACAATACTAGTTCCACGCTTGTTTTAGCTACGTTAAACATTAATCTACAGTATATATCAAAAAATTCAACTTGGCATAAGAGGATTCATCACACCTTAAGTCAAACGTTCAGTAATGCCCAGAGACGATTTCTTGTGCTTGGAAACCAAGATGCTTAAAGGAAAGCTCTTTTGTTGCACAACAGAAGAGAGGTTAGGAGTGGGGAAAGCTTTTCAGTCATTTGCAAAGTCTAAGTGAGAAGAAAAACATGCTCAAATCCTCGAGTATTCTTCCAAAATGTTAACATAATACCACCATACAGGAGTGCTAAACGAGAACAGCATCAGGTGGACAAGAATGCTTATTTTTAATCAAAAACTTACTTTGAAACAAGAAAAAATGCACTGAGAGATACAAGTCTGGCATTAATTTAAAATTAACATAGTCCTCTTCTGCAATATAAATGGGATTACTACACAAACAGTGAACCAAAAAAACAGGATTACTTGACAGAACGAAGAATTTCCTTGCCATTCCAGGGGTGGGGGGGGGGAAGTACCAGCTGGCAATGCTGTGGTAATTAAAAATGGTGCAGTTCCCTTGCAGTACACCAGATAGTGCTCAAAAGGCTCTTTAGCATCTT